GCAACCTGTGCCTCGGCCTCTCCTCCCCCTGCCAGCCTCAGTCTTCTCGTAACTCTTAGAACTAATTCATTCCACCTGCTGCTCTTTGCCTGGCACGTATCGAATCTGCTGGCGGGTGAAGAGAGACAGAGCCGCTGCTTGAGGCCCCTGTAAATGAGCATGCAGGGCCTTGGAGAGAAGGGGCATTGGACCATGGATGAGAAGCTCTTTCTGTTGGCTAGATCACACCCTCTCTCTCCCACCTTGCTAAGGGCTGTACCACGTGAGAAGCCTTCCCTTTGCTGACTGGCCTCCTAAGCTAGTTTGTTTCCACTCCAGGGGTTCCTTCTTGACCCTCATGCTAAAAGACTGCTTTAAGGATTTGAACTGGTTGGTGTCCATTGCAAAGCTGCACGGAGAGGCGGGGCTGCTGGTGACGGATGCTCTGCCACAGACCCCGTACTTCTGGGCCATACACCTCACAGAGGTAGGCACGGGGAAAGCCGGGCTGTGAGTCCTTTCACAGGAGCCCCTGTGAGACGGTCGCCTTGTTCTTGGTGTGCGTGTATCAGACTGTAACACGCGTATTTCTGGGCTAGCCCGTCCTGGGGGGTCTACGAGCAGTCTGCGTAATGATTATGTAGGCCCACGAGGAAAAGGCCAAACGTGCAAAGGGAACCGCGGGGAGTTCTGATTTCCGGGGACGGGATGATTGATGCCCATTCTGAGCACGGTTTCACACTGGGATCTCTGCGCTTTGAATTTACAAGGCTCAAATCTAACGAGGAAAAGGCACAGTGGGATCAAGTTCCAATCCCTCCCCCCGCCCTGTTTGGTTTCTGCTCTGGGGTCTTCGCTCCCGAGCCAGGGACATGCTGAAATCCCGCTGACGCCCCAGGGGGCTAAGCGTGATTTGTTGAATTGCAAAGGGAGTGAGCCAGAGTCCGGCTGGATGCGGGGGGGAGTGGAGAACAAGGCTGTGACCCTCGGCTGGCACCAGAGTACAAGTGAGTGGTGGTGGATGTGCAGTCGCGCTGGCAGCCTGGTGCGAGGGGTGGGATTGAGTGGGTGCTGTGCTCTGCTCTTTCCTCGGCAGGAAAGTCACTCGAACATGCACAAGCTGTTCTGCCAGCTGGCGGAAGAGGAATCCAAGCAGCCCTACCTGACGAAGCAGGCGGTGCAGCGAGGGACCCGCTGCATGGCAGAGTGCATTCTGGGGGACGACGGCGCGGCGTGGAACAGGTTTAGGGAACAAGCTGCATGCTCAGAATGGACCGGCTGGGCGAGAGGCGGCGGGGGAGTGGGGGGGACATTCGCTGATATCGGTTCCCCTCGCACTGTGCACGGAGGGCATGTGGCACTTTCCTGGTCTGCAGGTTTCTTAGCACGCCTTCACCACGTGCAGGAGCCTCTGTCCCCACTACCGAGCCGCAGCCGCTCTGTGCCAGCGCTGCCGAGACCGGGGAACGAAGCGCGAATTCCCAGGCAGAGGGGCCGTCGAACTCAGCAAGTGCAATTATCCAAGCTGGGGTTTGTCCCTTGTTGGGGTGAACCCCCGGCCGCCTTCAAACAAAGCACGCGCCGCTCTAGCCAAGCTGTGCGGTTCACCAGCCGCACGGTGTCACCTGGCACTATGCTGGTGAAAGGCGCCCCCTGCGGAGTGCCCAGAACTAGCTCGTCTCACCTGGCTTCTTCCTTGAAGGTCTCTCATGCAGGTATTGACCCGGCCTGCCCTGGCTTCGCTCTCCCGGTCTGAGTTACTGAGATGGCAGTAGATAATATTGCAGTCAAAACTCCATTTTGCTGAGATTTTAAGCTGCACCGTTTAAAAAAAACAAACAAAAATCCCCTAACCCCTGAGGCAGTCAGCTAGCTTCTCTCTCCCTCCTCTTTGCAGGACAAATATTATTAAACCCTGGGTCCTGTAGCTTCTTGCTGGGCTCACGTGCTCTTGTTTGACCCTCACAGGTGCTGGGTCTTGGAGAAAGTGGAAGATCTTGCAGTGGTTCTCTTTGTGGACTTTGGCCGTTCGGCCACTGTCCCTCTGAACTCACTGCGGAAGCTGGATGAAGACGATTTCTGGGACATAAAACCGCTGGCCCAGCCCTTCATGTTCCAAAAAGGTACTAGCATAAGGCCCCGATGTTGCAAAGGGATCCGTTCCCACTGATGCTCTGACTGGATCGCTTTGCACAGCTGGGGCCTTATGCTAGTACCTCCCATGGCAACTTTGGGTTGGTAGAAACAACCTTCTGGTTGTGCAGTGCCACTTGCTGGCCAGGTAGGTGTATTGCATTTGACCAGCTGCAAGGTTAATCTCTTGTCTGTCCATTACACTACAAAACCAGTATTTTCAGTATAACCCCCCCAATTCCCAATGTGGAGGTGCAAACCAGGGCTGGAAGAACGCTCTGCAGCTGTAAAAGCACTGTGGCTTTCTCTGCTTTGAATACTTACAGCCCCAGTGGCAAAACATTCACCCACTTTTCCAGGAACATAGTAGATCTTATCTTACCCTGAAGGTCTTTGATGCCTTTTTCTCCCTCCTGCTGCTGGGTTGCTGCCTAGTGAGGATGTATCACAAACTCCTAATTTCCCATAAAATGTTCGCTGCTCCTCAGAGCAGTTCAGCTCCTAGTGTGGGTTGGGTGTAACGGGAAGCCCACCTTGTACTGGCTTTTCTGGGCATTCTCATTTCCCGCTGGTTTGCATCCCTTGCCCTGCCAGCGCTAGTTAATGTCTCTGATTAAAATACTACCTCGTTAATGGGATCTGCCACAGCATGCTTGGAAACAGAAGAGCTGGTTTCTATTTGCCTGTCTTTGTATCCTCACAATGTCCCTGGGATGGGTACCATGTCTGCATTTTACGGGTGGAGAATTAAGTGACATGGAGCTGGGCCTTAACCCCGAGTCTCCCACCTCCCGGGCCAGCAGCCTATACACAGGACCGACCTGCCAGGTCCCTGTAAACTCTGGAATCACTTGGCTGTTTAAAGTGCTGAGTTACTGTCCTGCGTTCCTCCGTCTGATGCAGGGCAGAACCCCACTGAACCCTCTTTGTCTTTTAGAGATGGTCTCTGCAAGACCCATGGTTCGGCAAATCCTGCAAGGGAAGGTGGTCGGCCCGTCTCGCCTGGAGGTAACGTAGCCCTGAGCACTTGGGGTGTGTGAAAGGCTCGTGTGTTGAGAGGATGCTGTCCTCCCCAAAATGCACAGGACCATTGGTCACGTCTGTCATCACAACCCTGGGGTCATATTTCATTGGGTGTGAATGTCTCTAAACACTGGCCCAATGTACATACCCAAGCCAGCTTTCTGGTGTGTGTACAGCAGTGACCAGTTCCCCTGGGGCTCCTTCCCACACCTCTGTGAGATCTTTACCCATCCTACACCAGCTTCCCTGGAACGGGAGGAGGGGGAGGGAGGCCTCTGGCAGCTTTGTAGAGGGATTTGGAAATGGTGGGAGAGACCGGCTAACTCTGCCCCACTTTCCTTGTGCCAGCCTCACATCCTGACATTCACCTTGTGCGCCGAGGAGGAAGAGGAAGTCGGGGACCCTTGGGAGCTCTGAGCTGAAGGCCCCTGCCTCTAGCTGCCCAAAGCAGGAGTGGGGCAGAGAACTGCTGGACCTTGGAAAAGTCGTCTTCAACCTGAACCAGCCTTATTAACTGGCTGCAGTGTTGTGACTGGGGGGAGGGGGTGTCTCTTATTTCTCCAGGTTTAGTGATGTCCCCAGTTAGCTTCAAGGGGAAGTTATCTAGTTTTGATTTTTCTGTAAAATTGGGAGGGAGCTGGTAACTGTCCCTCTGGCGCCTATTAAATGGACCCTGGAAAGGCCTGTCCTGGCTTGGCAAGTCCCAATAACGCTGTCTCAGCCAGCGGATGTGTTTACAGGCATGCTGAGGCTAGGTGTGGTTCTGTTCAGAGTGCCTGTCCGCTGCACAAATCACCTCTTTAGACCAGCACATGCCCTGGCAGCTTTAAGAGCCAGAGGGAGGGTTGTTCCCTCAGTGCTATAAGGACAAGGCCCTGCAGTCCTTTCTTCAGCAGGACTCAAGCCTTCAGCCACCGCCTTGTGTCAGGCTGTGCCCGCAAGCTCCTTTGGGTAAAGTATGGTACAAATCCCCACTTTCTGTTACTTTGACAGACCATGGACAGGGTCCAAATACTCAAGTCTTAAGAGTGACTAAACTGCTAAGGGCAGAGGTTGGTTTGTTTTTGAAGGGGGGAAGAAACGAACAGGGCTCTGGATAACTCAGGTCTGCCCCTCGTGTCTGGTTGCTAAGTGGCTCAGAGGAAAGTTGGTCTGGTCCTTGGGGTGAAAGAACGAAGCTAGCGCAAGAAGCTTGTTTAAAGTAAAATGGCCTCAGGTTCCCACCTGGCCCCCGGGTTTAGATCAGAAGTTGTCCAGCTTAATTTCACAAGGGAAAGTCAGGGGGCAGGGCTGGCGGTTGTGAAACCAGAGATTCTCCCACCGTCGCCTCCAGGATGGTGAACCTGATTGGTAGAATCCCATTTGCTGAAAGGCAAAAGAAAGCTGTATAACCCCTGCATGAGAGCGAGCCTGGATGGCTTTGAACTCTGCGTTGCAGCTGGGTAGAACATTTCAGGGAGGTGCTCTAGCCAGCTCTCTCCTGAGTTTAAAGCTCTAATCACAGGGGAAATCTTGGTTTGGCTAGGGCTTGAGGGAAACGCGCTCAGTATCTCTAGCATGAAGTGGCTTGGCAGCGTTATCCAGTGTCTGGTTGATGGCACATCACAACAAGCGTTCAGCTCCCACCATGAACCTGCCCTGCAGTCTTACCTCTGTGATCCTTCAGCTGAGTATTTTACCATTGTTCAAAGGGGGGAGGGGATGTGTGAAGCAGGTTGCAGTCTGAGAGGAACTCTCCTAACATTAGTAAGGAAAACAGCATGGACCCTCCTGAGTGCCACTCTCCTTCCTTTATTTAGTGAACAGAACTGGCCTACAAGCAGGCAGTGAAACAGTCCATGTCATTCCAGAGCCCGGATGCACAGTTGACAGTGAAAAGTAGAGGGCTGCTGGGTAAGAGAATGGGCATCTTCTGAGTGCCTTTGAGGTCCAGTAGCTTCTATTAGAGTAAGTTCATACTGACAGTCTGGCTTTATGGCATGAGTGGTGCAGCCACATACTGACAGGCCCGGACGAGCGCAGCCCTGACATGCCAAGTTTAAGGGATGGAAGATAGGAACAGGAAGTGAACAAGGGGATGAGCAGGGAGTATTCTGTCCAACACCCACACCCTCCCCCAGCAGAGCAGCAGGGGGCAGTTTACCCCATGGGTACCACATTGGATGAGACCTGTGGGCCATCTACCACAGTTAGCTGCCAGCAACAGCTACTTCAGGAAGGAAGGAACCTCAGAGGAGGCAGATGGGGGATGATCTGCCCTCCCTGTGGTGCTGGTCTCATGGCCCATAGCCAGAGGGTTCACATCATGGTGCACACGGAGGATTCCAGGCCCAAGAGCCCAGCTGTACTCAGCAGTTCCAGGGGGCTGAGTTCACATAGTTAACTGCCAGCAAAGGTAAAACGGGCAGAGTCATATACCCTCTTCGGAAATGGAGTCAGAGGCAACAGGACAGAGCCCAGCTGCCATAATCAGTTCATCAGCACCCCCAGGATCTGGGGGGGCATGAATAGGGTTGCCTTTTCAGCCCATCCTCCACTCAGCCAGTAACCCTGCCTCACTCATTTAGGAGGTAGAGATGGTCTGTTACCTCTATAGGGAGCGCAGAACAACTGGCCCAGCTGTTAGCCAGGTTAGTGGGAACCTGCTGTCTCCCTGAATGAGACGTGCTTTGCTCACCCGTGTCTTACTGAGCAGCAGCCCTGGCAGAGACAAAACCAGAACAGGTGAGAGAGTTGGGCAACATCTCCCATGCGAGCAAGTGTGGTGCTTCTTACAGCCCCTCCTCCCCCCAGAGCACATACACACCACTCACCCACAGCAGGATGAGCACATACAGATTAGAGCTACTTTAGCCTCTGTTCTCCAGAAGTGAGAAACTTTGTGGTTTCTTGAAGGAAAATCTGTTCTTGATTTAGCAGATGAGCAAACTCACCACCTCTCCCTTACAGCATGGAAGTCAGGTCTCCTGTGGGGATTTCAGAAGAGTTGATTTCAAGCAGATTTTGGCCATCCACAAGAATGGGCAGTTGAGGAAAGACATTTCCCCCACCACACACAGCTGGCCAGGGGCCACGCCCAAGACAGTTTGGCTGGGGGCTCGGAGCAGTATGCTGTGTGTGGAACTCAGCTCAGCAGTAACTTGAGAAAAAGAGTCAGACCAGCATCTTCAAATTAACAAACTGTAATTTTTCTCCAAAGATACATTTTCCATACACATCCATCATACACTGTAACCAAAAAAAGCAGTGTACATGAAATAAGAAAATAAATTAAATCCGTAGCATAGGTGAGGAGGATGCTCTAGACTGGAGCGGAGTCGAAAGTTTCCAGCGATACAAGAGGCTCAAGAGTTGTTTTAATAAGGACGCCTGCTAGCGAGGGTCCAGCAAGAGTTTCACGTCAGTCCAACTGCTTACACAGTTTTTCCCATCGAGTTTATAACAGCCGTTACTGTCCTGCAAACAGGCAGCGCTATCACATCCAGGAGGGAGCCACAGGGGTGTTTTATGGGCCAAGTACAGCATTCAAAAGTAACCAAGTGGTCCTGCAGAGCCCAGCCAACGGTCAATGCTAGCCATCTTCCTTGGGTGGTGTGTACCAGCCTGAAACAAGAGCAAAGACTCCATGGGAGGGACAAGTCTCACCCCATTACTACAGCTAGACTCCCCAGAACAGTCCCACCAGACTCCTTCCATGTGACAAGTGCCTCCCATGTGAGACCATGCAGCTCTGTGATGGCAGAGGGGGAGGAGAGTCTCTCCTCCCCCCTCCCAGCCTTGACTGTAGGTTCTGCCCATACTACAGCTTCCTGAAGCTCTGCAAGGTGTGCGTGCTGCACACACAGGCAGGAAAATACTCCCCCTCTCTAGCAGGTTAATTCCTCACGTGCAATACCTGGTCTAGC